GTTGTTTTCTCCTCCAGATTTTTCATCCAACCTATCTTATTTAGACAGACCTGCGGAGATGCCCTTACATTCATTTTATTGTATTATTTAATTTAACTTATCTGGTGTGCACAGGGCAGTACTACCAAGGCCTTCATGAACACAGGGCCTGCCACTTGCCCAAGGGGCCAGTACTAAAGGATGGTTTTAACTTCACAACCATCTGGATGAGATGCTTCTCAACCACCATGTCTTAAAACTCATCGGCATTCAGTGTGATGTGGAACTTCTGACACACAAGCAACTTGCTTCGACCCTGCACAAGGCTTCAATCACACTCCTTGTTTTGAAGCTTGATGTGAACAGACTTGACTGGCCTCAGTACCCCGGAATACTCAGATAGCAAAAGTACCTCACATACCTGTCTGGAGCCTGCCAACCCCAGTACAGGACAACATCTTATGAATATGGGTAACCTGGAAAAGATGGAGCCACACTCTGAGGTGAAAGGCAATTGCCAGGACTTTTCACCATCTACTTGATGATAGAACTTAGAGAAGCCTCCAGAGTTCCTGAAGAAAGCTTCTTGCTTCTTGGGGCCAAAGAGTAGGAACTCATTCACGTTGGCTTTCTTCAAACCCAGGTCAAAGATGCTGATCCTGGCATCAATGACACCTCAGCAGAGCCATCCTTGGGGTAGGGCTTCTTTTTACACTATGGAGAACACAGGGCAGGGCAACAGCCCATGGCCACAGGCAACACCAGGATCTGTGTGGCACACTGAAGGAAAAGGAGCCTGTAATTCCTTTTATACAAAGACAAATGGGAAAAAAGATGGGCCACACATTTCTATGTCTTATAGTTTAAGGTAACATGGGGCATCACTCAAGATCACTTTGGGGACTCAAACACATAACTTTTGAAAACCTTCTCCAATCTCCATCTTGTTTTTTGCCCTAACCCACAGATTACATGCCATTCAAATGACAGAAGAGTTCCCATTGCTGGCTGTCACTTCTCCCCTTCCTGTCCTCAAGGCAGCAGAGCATAATATGGGCAAAAGAGTTATTAACGGGGAATGATTACAGGCTGAGTGAGGCAGAGAGCCCCGGACATTCTTATTTCTACTTATACCCTGGGTATATCCCTCTAATAAGAAGAAATAGTCATCATAATTTTCCTGGGAGTCATTGTATAAGAGATTCCTGGTGGTGCACTACCAACATCAGCAGGTCAGACAGCAGGCTGCTGGCTCATGGGCTGCAGAAACGAATGAATGTCAAGCCCTGTGGATAACATAGCGATAGGGCAGGCTCGAGTGCTAAGAATTGGAGACCAGATTAAGAGAGCAGGGTAAAGGATCCAGAGTTAGCAAAAAACTTCACAACATCCATATAGATTTGCTGAAGGCCACGCCCCTGAGGAGACTCCCTTTACATCAGATCAGGGCCAATCACCTCAGAACACATCGTTTCATAACTGCTAAACAAGAGAATCATGGTCCAGCCAGGTTGACAGTCTTAACCATCACATTCTACTCTGTCAACTTTACACGGGTACAAATGTCCTTAAATCATACGTGATCTCTAAATAAAGACAATCATGCAATTATTCTCATGCAACTAGCATGCATATGAACTGGAAGTTAAGAACGTCTAGAGGAAAAGGATGATTGGTTTCCACAAAATATGTCATCCTGTCCATTTGATGGTTAAAACCCTCCTTTGCTGAGATCGTCCTTTGGTGAGCATTCACAGGAGATCAAAAAACCTTCCTTTCTTTGGTCCGTTCTCCACCATAGCCTCCTTGTCATCAGCTTTCCCATCATGCACCTTCAAAATCCCTAACTACCCAGTCAAATCACTGGCCACAGCCCACAGATCCTACAGTCACACATTTGGCCATTCCTCCTTCCATGCAAACTGAGCACTGGCTCCAGTTCTGCCCTTCACCACTGCCCTTCAGGGAGGTCCCCCAAAGGGGTTGGTTGCACTGTTGTTGCTGCCCGCTTCTGAGTAGTGCCTGCCTACCGTGCAGAACCGTCTATGAAGCAGGCACAAGTTTTCTCTTCATCAGTCAACTAATCACCATGAGGCCATTGGTGCAGACTAGGAGAAAAAAAGGTCATGTGACAGGAGTAGAGGCCATGGGCATTTGCGTCACTTCCATGTGTAATTTACTTGTGCCTTCAGGTCTTGCTCCAGCACAGCTTTGTGTATGCTACTTCCACTTAATGACGGAGTGCTGCTGTGCACACCCACCTTTATGATACTGGAGCCATACAGCACCCACTTCATGATGAACAGCTCGGCCCTCGTGGCTTGGTGGTCCGTGGTGAGATAGTTGATCTCTATTAAGCCTCCGTAGAAAGCCAAAAGCTTTTCCTCAAAAGAATAGTCATCTTCAGAGGATGCAGAGATTTGCTCCCAAGCCCTAACCTAAGGGTCTGTACTGTGATTCACCAATTAGGACCTGCAAACAACAAGACAGCATCTCTATCTGCCACTGGCACGTCAAGCACCATTCAATGAGCCAAGTTATATTGCTCAAGTGGCAGAGCAGTGTTCGTGGCAGTCTGAACTTGTTACACAGCCTGCTCTTGTTCTGAGGCCCACTCAACACTGGAGGATTTGTTTTTAGTCACTTCATAAATAAGCCAAAGGAACCCCCCGTTTGAGGGCTGTGTTGACTCAAAAACCCAAAGAGGCCCGCGAGGTGCTGCGCTTCCTGTTCAGCTATGGGAGGGTCCCTGTTTAATAACTAGCCCATCACCTCAGTAAGAATATTTCAACCTGCCCCACACCACTGCATCCCTAGAAATTTCATTGAGGTGGAAGGTGTCTAAAATTTTATCAGGTCAATTTCCCACACTATACCACACAGATATCTCACAATAAGGCACGAGCCCTTGATACATCTGCCCCACTAGCTGCAGTTAGCATGATAAAATCAATGTGATGGCCTAGTGGGGTGTCTTGTGGAAGAGAAAGGAAATAAATCTCCTTCTTGACTAAATTATGACATAGTGCTGGGGAGTTGCTATACCGATGAGGTCGGACAGTGAAGGTGTGTTACTGAACTTGTCACTGAAGGCAAAGTGCTTCTCATGACCCATCAGACCCAGAATTGAGAAAAATACATTGGCCAGATCAATAGTTTTATAGCCGGTACCAGGGAATTTATTGATTTGCTCAAGCACTGAAACAGTCTGGAACAGTAGCTGCAATTGGAGCATCAGCTATTTAAGTTTACAATAATCCACTGTCATTTTTCAAGATTCATTCTTTTTTTTTCATGCAGACTAAGTAGGCAAATTAAATGGGGATATGATGGAATCACCACTTCTGTATCCTTCAAATCCTTGATGGTGGTAGTAACATCTGAAAATCCTCAGGAATGCAGTATTGCTTTTGGTTTGAGTATTTTCCTAGGTTGAGACAGTTCTAATGGCTTCCACTTGGCTTTTCCTTACTCCACATGTCAGGAATCCCATGTCAAAGTTCTGCCAGTTGCTGAGTTTGTCTACTCTAATTATGCTTTCTGTTGTTGTTGTTGTTGTTGATAGGTGCTGTCGAGTCGGCTCCAACCCATAGCAACCCTATGCACAATCGGATGAAACAGTGCCCAGTCATATGCCATCCTCACAATTGGTCCTATCTAATATGATGCCCTTCTCCAGAAACTGGTCTCCCCTGACAATATGTCCAAAGTACATAAGACAAAGTCTTGCCATCCTTGCCTTTAAGGAACATTCTGGACTTATTTCTTCCAACCCAGATCAGCTTGTCCTTTTAGCAGTCCGTGGTACTTTCAATATTCTTCTCCAGCGGCACAATTCAAGTGCATGGATTCTTCTCCAGTCTTCCTTATGCAGTGTCCAACTTTCACATGCAAATGATGCAATGGAGAATACCATGACTTGGATCAGGCCCACCTAAGTCCTCAAAGTAACCTCCTTGTTTTTCATTACTCTAAAGAGGTCATGGGCAGCAGATTTACCTAATGCAATATGTCTTTTGATCTCTTGACTGCTGCTACCATGAGCATTAATTGTGGATCCAGGAAGATAAAATCCTTGACAACTTTAACCTTTTCTTCACTTATCATGTTACTATTGGTCCCATTGTGAAGACTTTTGTCTTCCTTACATTGAGTTGTAACTCGTACTTGAAGGCTACAATCCTTGATCTTCAACAGCAAGTGTTTTGATACCTCCTCACTTTCAACAAGCAAGGTTGTGTCATCTGCATACCACACCTTGTTAATAAGCCTTCTTACAATTCTAATGCCACACTCTTCTTCACATGATTTCCTCAGCGTATAGATTGATGATTTCCTCAGCATACAGATTGAACCAGTATGAATACAACCAGAGAATACAACCCTAACACACCTTTCCTGATTTTAAGCCATTCAATATTCCTTTGTTCTGTTTGCACAACTGCCTCTTGATCCAGGTACACACATTCCTTATGAACATAATGAAGGGTTCCGGAATTCCCATTCTTCTGGAGGTTATCCACAGTTTATGATGGTCCTCACAGCTGAATGCCTTTACGTAATCAATGAAACACAAGTAAACATCTTTCTGGCATTCCCTGCTTTAGCTAAGATCCATTTGACATCAGCAATGAGATCTGTTGTTCCATGTCCTCTTCTGAATCTGGCCTGAGCTCCTGCCAATCTACTGCTGCAACTGTTGTTGGATGATCTCAAGTAAAATTTTACTTGTGTGCAATATCAATACTATTACTCTATAGTTTGAGCATTCTGTTGGGTCACCTTTCTTTGGAATGAACACAAATATGGATCTCTTCCAGTCAGTTAGCGAGGCAGCTGTCTTCCAAATTTCCTGGCATAGATAAATGAGTGCTTCCAGTGCTTCTTCAGCTTTCTGAAACATTTCAATGTGTGGTCCATCAATTCCTGATAATTCAAGGTAGATTGCCATTCCCTTGCCCTAGAATTTTTCTGCTTGTACAAATCATGTAAATATTTAGTAGATGTCTTCTCTTTTCACCCAGCCTAAATAGCCAGTGCTATGAATTCACATGAGTCAGACGATTCTGTTTACTGAATTGACACTGCTGTCCATTAAGGTAACCACACCACATTATCTTTTTTTTTTTTTTTTGTTACACCACATTATCTTTATTATCACTGGATACGGAAACCTGGTCTCAACTACCATGGGTCCAATCAACCCCATGATAGTTAAGTGTTATAATTCAATTAGGGCAGTTCCCATGGTCAAATATCACTTAAATAAAGTAGTGTGATAGTTAAGGTTTTGTGTCAACTCGGTTGAGCCAGGATTCCCAGTAGTTTGGCAGTTAACACCCAGTAATCCTCTATGACCTGACCTAACATGATGTAATCACAGCCAATCGATGATAAGCCTCCATAAAGGAATAAGCTTTGGATGCAATGCAACCTCCTTACTCAGGCCACAGCTCTGATACAATGAATTGAATGTGTGTGTGTGTGTGTGTGTGATCAGCGGCATGATCAGATTCTGACAGGATGTTTTCGGTGGGAAAACATGCTTGCTTTATGCTGTGTCGGGATCCTGCATCTGTCGCATCAACCTCTAGTTCTTTGGACTTGAGCCAATGGCCCAGAAGTCATCAGTGGCCTGTCATCTGACCTACCAAGCTTCTGTTCATAGCTCCGAAAGCCTAACTTGTTGACCTGGGATTCTTCCTCATCTGCAGCCACCAGCCAGCCGCCTTCTTGCTGATTCTCAAACCCCCAGGTACACCAGTCAGGAGAAGCCTCCAGGCTGGCATCTGACCCATGGACTTGGAACCCACCTGGACATGGGCTTTCACACTTCTACAGTCATGTGAACCATTCTCTTGATATAAATGTCTATGGAGATAGATAGATATATAGATATAGATATATCACTGCTTTTGTTTCTCTAGAGAACTTAGCCTACAACAAGTAGCAACTACACTGGTCTTTGAGAATCTATCGTGATAATCCACTCTAACATGCCAATTTCCCTCAGCCTTCTTTGGCAGTAACCAACACAGCTCTGACTATCGGACTGATTATTGTAGGCCACTGTATAACCCAAGCTTCAGCAAAACAACCAAAGAAATTATTAGATCCTTCCCTAACCTCTCGAGCTGAAACACTGAATAAAGAATCTGTGTTTAGTGGTTTCCTATCAATAAACTCAGACTGCATGTACCTTGCACTATCATCCCACATCCTTAATAGTTACTCACACACGTGTTCAGGGTTTTGTTTGT